AGTTCCGAGACATCAGCTGCTGATGTTGGAGAGTAGCAGTTGATGATAGTAATGGCTTTCTGATGCAGAGAACGGTCGAAGGATAGCCAGGCGAGGTGATAGGATCTCATGCGAATGGATAAGATGGACAGCAGATGGGTGTGCGACAAATCCAACGCCTCCAACGTTCCGCGATAGAACCATTTCACCACGATGATTAGTGTGCCATCACTCACTGCCTCATGTCCGTCTTCCTGAACTTTGTTTCCTGCGAGGCGTTCAGTAATAGTAGATGCGCTCTGCAGCTTCGAGAAAGGTGTGAAGATTGCGTTGGTGGAGATTGTCTTGGCGTTGTAGGTGCAGAGCATGAGACAATCTCCATAGCGAGTCGTTGACCTGTCCTTTTGGGTCGGATTCCATGCCGTCCTGTGCGACCTGACGCTGGTCTTGATGACATCCGACGCCCTAGATGTGATCCAGTGTGCAGGGATTCTCTTTCTCTTACTGCTGTGCAGGCAATAAAAAAACTTTCCCCCAAACATCAGGAGAGCCTTGCCAGGGGCTGCCAAGCTTCCATAGAAAATCGCTGGCCTTGTGTGGATCAGAGAAACAACTAGCGACTGAATCAGCCAGACGGTGGTGCTTCTGGCATCCGGGGAACCAAAAACGTCGAACTCCTTCTCAGCTTGGGAGACCCTGTTGGAGGATAAATCTCCGCTGTACTTCGCAGTTCGACACCCAGAGTCACCTCCGCGCCACGATAAAGCAGTAAGCCATCACGGCGGAAAATTTATTTAACGAAAATAAGTGTTGCTAAGCACTCATTTAATAGTTAGAACCCACTTATTATGTATAGCTTGCGCAATTATCAGTTGTATGAATACATTTGGATAGTATATGCTCCACGTTTACAATATATGATCATGGGTTAGATACACAGAGCCGCGGCTCTGGTCATTTACACAGAGCAAAGAATGGGTGAAGCCTTCACCTATACGAGCTTGAGAGATTGTGCTCGGGCGAAGCCCCGGAAATTGACTTTCCCTTACTTAATTAGAAAACTACTTTCAAAAGTGCATGGAAAATAAACTTCATTGGGAATATACGGAAATAAGACCAAAAACATGACATTTCCATTCGTGGTACATGATAACTGAAATACGGAAATAAATATTCGATTTTCAATAGACAAGATATAATATCTGATGAATAAGCTATTCATTTGCGAGGGAGATTAAAAACAAACTTGGAAGAAAATTAAGTGGAAGTGTAGTTAAAGATCTTGCGCTGTAGCCATTTCTTCCAAAAAAATTGACATATGTCAAACATAGAGTGGCATATATTGTTAAAGGATAGCTAGTAAGATATGAAATTGAACTATGGAAGAATAGGCGTTTACTTAAGTAGCGAAGAAAAGAAGTATAAAAAACGTTTTATTGTGTTGGAAAATATGGAAGTTGCGCAATTGTTAAATTCTTCATTCATTCTGAGCAGCAATATAGCATGGATGTTGACCGCTTCTTCGAAAATGAGCCGAGATAGCCTACCATCAAATACCTCGTCAGCTCTCGTCGACTCTAATGTCCCTTTTTCCGTTGTTTGCAAATTAATTTAAGTTTATGCTTTATTGTATGAAGGTCATGGGACGTATATTCTAAAAGAGTCCTGTAGAAAAATGAATATGTAAATGAGTAGAAAGGAAAATCGTGCTTTCTAGCTGTTTCACTTGAAATTTTTTTGCGGAAGAACGGTGACAACTGCGCAGCCTCAAAAATCAGTAATCTAAGAAAAAAAATTCGAAGGACGCACAGACTTGGTGATCCTGTCATGAAATTCCTAACGAAGTAAATGGCCTCCGAGCATGCTGAGTTATGAGAATGTTCACATTTACAAAAAGATGTTATCAACTTCTCGTTTAGAGGCATAACATGAAAAATAAAGGAAAACAAAAAAATGAATGAAGAACATTAGACATTTACAAGAAGTTACATGGCATTTTTGCCTCCATTACTACTGTTTAAAAATTTTTCCCTATATTACTTTTTTGAACCGGGAAGATTTGCTTGTATACTCTCATCAATTATTATGGTACATCAATACCACAATCTTGCGAAGCGTTTAAGTAAAAACCTTTATCACATCTGTTGTTCTGTCTTTGGACTATCGCACCTAAGTTGTCTATTCTATTCAAATAAAGCACATAGGAGTCATAAAGTGGCGCATAGCCGAATGTGCGCTATAAGCATTACCCCAAATTGCCTGAAAATGCGGTGACAATAAAGCAAGCAAGTTTTTTAACAGTATGTAATTCTATCGTATGCTTTAGGGAAGAATGATTCGCGGAAAAACTGAGCTGGTTAAAACTTCAACTTGGAAAAAAGATTTTAAAAAAGCCAAAACAATCCCTATTGGTAGTTGTAAGTGGCATTTTGCGACAATTTCAAATTGATTACGAATTAAATTACAAGAAAGCTCGATTTTACGTCACTGCAACTCAGTATGAATAGCATTCGAAAATCCTATTCTTTTCTGTCCAATATCGTGGATATTGCAATATGTACGAATCCACGTGTCGCCAAGGATCCAAGCGGGCCCAAAACCGACAGAGTCCATAGTGAAGAAGGTTATTGCACACTAAAGAAGGTTTAAGAAATTATTACTGCAAAAATGTTTTCCCACAAACCTTGTCGTTCCCAAGTTCGATGTCAAGAATATATTGAACAGAGGGGACGTTGTAACTGATGCCGTTAATGGTAAAGACCAAATCTGGTTGAGTCCACATCGTTGAACAGGGGACGGTAAGGAGTTCATTAACGGGATCGTATTTTGCGTTAATTTCCTGTGCTATGGCAGCGACAACTCCTTTTGGAGCTCCAATCCACGATGTCCCAGTGTCTGATATAACCTAGATATATTATTAGATAAATATGGGATAATAACTCTTTTTACAGCAGATAAATACCTGCTCCATCTTCTTCTGGGTGTAGTTCCCTATTGAGAATCCTTGCATAGGGAATTGCCAATAAGTCAGCGACGAAAGTTGAATAAAATTCACGTCTGGAGCGCAATTTTTGAGATCATAAT